TTCTTTAAATCGTATTTAGAAGCAAACGAATGACGGTAAATTGCTGAAGAGTTTGATTTTTATAAAGACTAGCGTATACGGCGCGCAATGCGCGCCCAAGCTTACATGTATGGGGTATTATCATATAAAATCTTCATGTAAAATCTGCATATTAAATGAATCTTAAGTATCTAAAAAAATTAGTCATAATTAAAATTTTTTTCTTTAATTAAATTCAATTGATAAATATAACAATTTTCAATATATAAACAAATTATATATAATATATTATAAATCATATATATATATATATATTATAAATATACATATATATTAGTTATTTATATGAATATATTAATATGATATGCATAGCTTAGCTATGCGCCAAAAAAAGCTGACAAAAAACGTTACATGCTTTTTTTTTAAAAGGGATTAATTATTGAATTTTGACGTATATGGAACGAACATCATAAATTCTTGGAAAATGAAGCTCAAAATGTTGACTTTTAGATGATATTGATTGCGGAGATAGTGGGATTGGCATGTGTGTATATTGATTTTTTCAAGTGCAAATACCTTTTTCTTCTTCATATTTGCGTTGCGTTACGCTATTTGTATTACTTTCCAAATATGGATTATTCTCATTTAGCATTTTCAATAAACTCTAAACTCGAAACTAGGAAAACCCCAATTTTTTCAAGCGCCATTTTTTACTCAATTTCTCGAAATAGCTCTCATATTTTTTGTAAATAAAAAATGGTTGTGCAAAAAATCACTATCTTCCTGCAATTCCGAGATATTGATTCAATACTGGACTCGAAATAAATGCTCTTATCCTATTTTCCCATTTCGCTACTGAATTATTATCTACGTTTCACTCAATTTCGTTCTTGTGATTATTTATCTGGGATGAGTTATCTCGGCCAATTTTGTTTAAGACGAGTTTTCCGGGATGAATTTTCTAGGATTAGTTGACCTAAATCTGTTCGATAAACATACCATAATACGGATATAAAGTCGTGCTATACCAGTTCTCATATTTGACTCATAATGTTCGATTTCATTCGATTTTCTGGTCGTCTGATCGTCAGCAGCAGCAGTGTGTCATGGTGATTGATCCAGAAAGAGATTGTTGCGCCTTTTCACGATTAATAATTATTATATTATCATTTGTATTTGTATTTGTATTTGTATTTGTATTCGTATTATTCGTATAAATAATCAATCCGACAATTTAAGTGATAAAACAATGGATTGCTCTGGGAACTGATGCAAGGGAATATTAAATCCAACAGGGGACTTTCAAAGTGGACCTGGTCGGCCACTCGACGAGATGAACACTAGACTAGACGAATTGTCAAAACAAGTGTCATCCCTAGAGCGTACAATGGCAAGTGATATAAGACTCATATTGGCATTGCTGCAGCAAACATTAGACACGTCCAAGGAGAGTTCCAGCACGGAAATGATGCCTGGCACAGCGCCAGCAGCAACAACAGGATCGAGAACAAATCGTGCACCAGCATTGGCCCAAAGATCTGCCAGTGAGCCACAATCATCATCAATACCAGCAACATCATCCACCAATGGAAATGGCACAAAAATTCAGTCAAGTGCATCTCACAGTCTTTTCCGGTGAGTAAACACAATTCTTTACAATATTTTTTACGTAATCTCAATGTTTAATATTCAATGTTACTCTATACTTGCATATTACTGCGCAACCCAAAACACAATGACCCAAAGTAATTCATGTTTATTGTTTTTTTCTTTCCCATGGTTATCCGACGAAAATAGCTTTCTTTCCAAATCCCTGGATCAGTTGCATTTGATTTCGGCGCGTTTTGTTTTGGAAAAGTTGGACAAATACCGAAGGTGACGATATAGCAAAAGAAAATGACGAGAATAAAAATGATTTTGAGAGCAATGAGACATACATTGTTATGAAATTTTGGTTGGGGCTTTTTTTATTATTTTGTACGATGGTGTCATGTGTTTATTATTAATTAACTCACTGTTTCACACTGTTCGGGGGGCGAAAGAAAATGAAGCATCTTGTTCAATGATTCCTTGTAGATTTTAAATCTTTCGACTCCTACTGCTTGACTTGTTCTGCTCTTCATAGTGATGCTCTTCACATTACTGTGCGATTATGAAGAGCTACTTCTCACTAGTCTTTTGCACAATCTATTAGAATGACGCCCGAATGGTTCATGCAGGGAATTGCTAAATTTTCTATGGAGATATTTCTCTTTTCAGTACTGTACATATGATAAATATTCGTAGATTTCATTTCCAGTGCATGAACTGAACCAACGCATACGGAAAACTTCATGGAAAAACTTGTCTGTTGTTGATGAATTATATTGGAATTCTATTAGAAATGTCTAGCTAACTACCCTGATATTACGTGGTTTAATCCAGTGTCGAAGCGGTAAAACGGTTTGAGTTAATAAAAATAAATTTACAGAAGAGTCGAAAATTTGTTTGTCATCTTCTTATATAAATTTGTACAAGTGAATTTATGAATTTCATTTCCTTTTGGTAATTTGTTTATGTTAATAGTTTGACCTTTTATTGGATGTCCTTTCACGCTCGAGATTTAAGTCTTGGCTCCTTTTTAAAATTATTATTTTTACGTTTATGTCGACGCAGCTCGGTTGGAATTAGACTTGCAACTTGACCCATTTTATTTCAGTAACAAAAAAAGTCATACGATATATTTCGCAGCTTGAACGCTTTTTGTAAGAGATGCATTATACCCTCGGTAGTCGATTTCAGTGACAATCTCATCTTCGACAGAAGTGGACGGTTAGCATTAAAGTTTTACCGCTTCGCTACTAAATCCATAATTAAGAAGAAGAAGAATATCGAATTATCGTTATTCCACACGATCGCTGAATTATCGAATTCAGTACGATTTTTCAGTAAGCATATTTTTCCAAGATATTCTGGATCGATATTCAGTATAATGCCCCAGCGAGTGCAACAGATTTTTCCATAAAATGATTTCGTACGTTCAGCTATAACTTTAAGTCTGAATTCCACATGACGCCATCAGATCTTTATAATTTCCTTAAATTTAATAGAGAAATGTTAACGTAAGTTAGCGACGCATCCACCACCACTGTAAATAAAGTCACCGGCTTGCTCGAGTAACTGGCTATGCGGTGCTTCGTATACATGACTGAAGATAAACTAATTATTACTGGAAAAAACCTAGCATCGGTTGAGCCGATGGTCTTACAAATAATTAGCACACGAATGATAAATATTTGACGGAAGTTAAAGTGCAGATTGATATTAGGCCACCATCGAGCAGAGATCCAACATCAACGTCATCAGGCACATCACGGTTAACAGTAACTTCTGATACATCAGCCCTTGCCACTGCCCTGCAGAGTGCCCTGAATGGTGCTGCTAGTAGAACAGCACCAACCCGATCACAGAGTCAGCCGGTTGATCTTGCGGGACCACCAACGACTTCACAATCACATCATCATCATCATCAACCGCAGTTGTACGGATGGCACAGCCAACCGGCAGCTTTAAGACGTGGCGAATTTAGGACTGGGTAAGAGAAACTCAATGTTACCAGACAAAATGCTTTGTCAAACTGAAAGCAAACATTGAGGATATTTTTCAATTTTTCTGGCTTATCCATGGGATTGACGTGAAGAAATATAACGTTTTGGCTTTTTGCGTTTTTTTCTTCCTACAATATTCAAGAAATTATATAATTCGTCAATAAACAATTGTCAAAAATTTCTCGTTTTATTGTCCAACATTGTAGCAAAAAAAAATCACTAGATCTATCGAAGGCCTTAAACACTGAAAGTTATAATAACAAAATAAACCGTTGAACAGCCACTGATGCATCCACAATTGCTTTAATTCTCAGATACAGTTCCTTCAACAAACGTTCAGAACCTGAATCAGACGATCCCTGGAGTACATGTGCAGTATCAACAGTGGAGACACGTCCGACAGCAGCGATTCAACGTCCCCGCAGTAGCGAGCAGAAGAAAGAGCTAAGTCCATCACAGGCCCATCGGAGCACAAATTTGGATTACAGCGGTAGCACGATACCAAAACCCGAGAGTAGAACATCGGATATTCCACCACCAAGAACGGAGACATCTAGACAAGCTAGCGAGGACATATCATGGGAATTCACTCTGACCGAAGCGCCCATCGCGCGTTTGGAATCATTAGACGAACTCGATCAAGACCACGGTAGTTAAAAACAGACTCATTGATGATTGAATTATCCCCAAATAATCTGTTCACACAGATCAGTCATTGACAGACTATAAAGTTCACACGTAATATAATATTTTGGCTGTGCTTGTAATTAGCCTCTTTGGGCTCTCCATCTATATGTTAATATTGCAATTGCGCAAGGAAAAACACGTTATTACACGTCCACGTTTTTACTTTTAAACGAATGGAACGTAGAGGCTATTATTTCGAATGATTCAGACGCGCCCTGAAGAGGTATCTGAAAGTATATCATGAGGACAACCGAGAATATCTGCAGAAAAAATAACAAGAGATTGTCGGTGCTGAGGAAAGCTTTAATATTGTGCACGCAGAGCACAATTCTGAAGTTGAATTATCGAAATGGAACAAGAATATGAATGGACGACATATCGTGATGGTAATGCGGGTCAAGAAGTGGTGGAGATGAGAAAGCGGAGGTGTGAGTTTTATGAGAGATTAAATAATTGGATTCAACGATGCATTCACGTCATGAAGACAGATTAAATTCTTATATGCTGAGATTAATATTTAGAGGGGAAATTAAGTTAATGTGTTATCAAATTTTATACCGATCACGGCTACTGAAGGAAAAGCAAGCAGATTATTCTATATTAATATTAATGATATGGCATAATATCATGTAATGTACGTTCAGGCGAGATATTTTTTTCGTCTCCCGAATTATTGCTCTTCTTCGTACTTTTTTTTTAAATCAAATTTTATGAAAAAATCGTAGGGTTATTTTGTAAACGACTACGACACGGTGTCTAGAAGGATTTAGACGTAGGGAAGGGTGAGATGATTGACAGTTAATACGCGTTGTTTAAATTTGAATAATTTGCTCAGTATTTCCATTAGATGATGTTTTTATCTGCACGAACATTCGATAATAATTAGGCTGCGTACTACGATTTATTCCTCTTTTTTCGGGTGAATGGAGGTGAGATGTTCGAGCTATCGTGTACGCTTATGACGAAGCTTTCAAACGAGTGAATGACAATTATCACAATCACGACACGACTGTTGTCAGTAGAATTTCAGATAATAAACTTTAGAAAAAAAAAACCTATATTGAATAATTTTAATTAACGTCACACTGTTATTCCGTAGATGCTCATGTAGTCTGGATTGAATAATGAAATGCATGTCGGAGTTTTCTGTTATCAATTTTTCCTCACGACAATTTTATGGTGAAAAATTGGAGTTTCTGATTTACCACTTGGCCTTCAATGCACGTACGAAAAAATTTTGCAGAATAAATCATCTATGATTTTTTGCCACTCAGCTCGTGAGGTAACGTTTCATGATCACTGCGTGGTTGTTAAACCCTGCCTGTGAACTTAATGACAAAAAATATTGTTTGTCACTCGGCCGAGAAGAAATTTTCTGACGATTGTGTTTACATCCCTCGGGTTCGCCTCACAATCGCCAGAAAAGTTCCTAGCAGCGTAGTGACGATATATACTATTATGTGATTTATATAGGATTTATTTTTCCAAGTTTCGATACTCCAGTGGAAAAAATCTGGAAAATTTACCGCGTGTAATTTCTGTGGAAAATATTTCAACAGATAAAATGGTGTGAGACGTAAAAAACTATTGGTTTTTCCTGCATAATATTTTCTATTGGACATTTTGTCCCGATATTAGAAAAAAAAATATTAGAATTATGTACAAAATTCTGAGAGAATTTTATCCGAATTGTAACAAATACAATCGATTTATCTATCAAATTTTTTCATCCGTGATTGAAAAATTTCTTTTTAAACGCTGAATTACCACTTCTCCCTCTTCTTATCGTTGCTAGTAATATAATGATAGTTCTAGAGATCTTATGTATCGAATCTCGTCCTCATTCATATAATTCAGGTAAATGACTACAAAAAAGAAATGATAAATCATTATTTTACTCTCCAAAAAGGAAATCCGCATCAGTCATTCTGAATGCAGCTGTAACTGAATCACTTGTAAAAAAAAATGACGGATTATTCATGAAAACACATGTGATAAAGCTGAATTTCAAATGAAGAAACAAAATCATTAAAAAATTAACGAAAGTCCTGAGCTGGACGCATTCGAGCGAACGTATTTTGTTCGTCTTTGCCGAGGCTGTGTCACGAGATTTCACCGTGAAATAATTCTTCTAAAAAATCTTAGGGGTCACGGTGAAAGCGCGTTTCAATGTATAATAAATAAATTTAACTATTAAACTGAAAAACTATTCACATAAACATAAAAATGAATAACGAATTATTCGCGTTTTTTCGCAAAGTATCACGTTAAGATCGAGATTATTGTATATAAAGAGCAGGTCCCTCTCCTCTTCTTGTTTTCTCCCTCTCCCCCTCCCCTACTCTCCTTCGACTGTATATTTATATACATATGTATATATGGATATGTACTATATGGCTTGAACGTGTATAGTATGTATATACATATGCATGTTAATATTGGAATGTACGATTACACGACGAGCGCACTGATTTGTATCACATACATTAATATTAAAAAAAGGATGTCAATAGGTGACAAAAATACAAATGTTGTATTATTTCGTTATCAATTGTTTTATCTTTTTCAGAAACACCGGAATTCCGCTCAGAGGAAAACATTTCTGATGCCACGTAAATCGTATTTTCGAGCCACACCAAAATATCATACAAATAAATTATCTTCCGATGTCGGTGGCTCAGTGGCTAGGTGCGAGCCTAGTGTTCTGAAAGTTGTGAGTTCGATTCCCCGTTGAATCGAATTTTTCAACAGGTATCGATAAGCGGGAGGTCGCTAATAGAGCAATCGCCTGTACCGACATGGTTTTTCCTGTGGTTTCCCATGTTATTCCTATGTTCTATAGGGGAGTGAATACGGTATAGTGTAGGATGAGCCAGAAGCAGAAAGGGCCGGAATATTAAAAGAAAAAATAAAGCATCTCACTGTGAAGTATGATATTAAAGATTGCAATATCGCAAGCCGAAATGTCATATCGAAATATTACAGGAAAAGAATGAGGAAACATTCCAATTGGAAATTGATGATAATACGAAATAATTGATTATGTTATATAGAAATCAATGTGAGGTCTTTAAAATAGTGACTTGTGATATTCATCTTCGATTATATTTGATGCGTGACATTTTGGCGCGTGTTATGTTATGAAGCCGATATTGTGCTTAAATATAAATAATCACTACATTTCACGTATCTTAATGAACAAAAAACCTTTATTATTTTATCGATGCTGCAGCTCGAACTTGCGATGTTACGATTACCATGACCTATCCGATAGGTCCGATAGGTCCTATCGTGATATTCGGTCCTTAAATATAATAAAATTGGAAAAAATAGTTCTTTTGGACATAGAATACTGAGTAACTGCAGATTAATTATTCCAATAACATGAACATTTCAGTTAATAATTCCATTGAATTGGCAAAAACCTACGAATTTACTGACGTTCAATGAATATTTTTTACGGCAGAAATTTTTTTTTCTCAGCGTAGACATTGATCCGTCGCTTTTTCATAATTAATTGAACAACAAAAGGTAATTATTCGGTATATAATATTTTATTTTTTCTAGAATAGTTCATGTACAGTTTCAAATTGAATAAAGTGGTAATACTAAAACTCTTTCGATTATCGGAACTAATATTACGATATCTTTTACACGTGTCGAGCTGTTCTCGATATTTTTGGTTGAATCTTTATTCGAGGTAAATTTCAGAAACGAACCCAGTACCAATGGTCATATTTACACGACTTAATATTCTATTTCATTTCGCGATTTCCTGCAATGACGAAATTACTGGCGTATAGGTAAATATCAAATTTATCCATCCCAGTATTTTAAAATTAATTTCAAGAAAATCGATCGCTATTTACAGAACCGAGAATTATTTTTACACAGGTTCGGGTTGCGCAAATAATCTACATAAATATATGTACAGTTCCATAATAGAAAAGTTGGCGAATCATTGGGTTATCATCACATGGACAAACAGTTAAATAAATATGAAGTGATAAATGTAATATTTAAACTATTAATTTAGCTAATCCCTGACGAACATATGTTATTTAAGATTGTTTTTACATTATGTACAGCTCCAATCCTTCTACCATAATTAGGTTTTAGTAATTACAGAATAGAATAGAATTCTAAGGAGATTTTTTTAGAATTTCAATAGATGATCAACTGAAATTCAAATGAATTTTTGGAGAAGGCGTTCAACTTTTCTGAAATGTTTTCTGCCGGTTTTTATCTTTCAAATGAAATTTCAGACAATTGTTCCATGATTTCTGCGATATCAGCCTGACAAAGGATATAATTCAATAGAATTTTTACAGACCTTTAATATAAATTCATAAGAACTTTTCAAGAAACCGTTGGATTTTTCGATTAAGTTATTTCCCTAATGAATTTTGTATTTCCAATGAAATTCAATCTATTATTTTCCTTATTACGATTTTGGCGTTGTTTTGATAATTTACCTGCCAGCAGAACGAATATTTCCGTGTAAATTTGCCTTCCGAAATTTATTCGTAGAAGGTGCCACGAGACCACGAGATCCTACCAAAATCTGAATAAGGAAAATAATCCACCAAATACTCCTTCAAAATAAATCAGATATTTTCCTGATGTTTCCCTATGGATCAATGATTGGGATGTTTTCAAAAAGCTTTTCCCAAGTTGCCATTCAACGAAACAATCAGGAAATATTGAACACTGGTGAGGCTTTAGGGGTATAAAAACTGATTATTCCAAAATTACTATCAACCTAAAGTTCTTTAGTACCAGCCATAGAAGGGTTGATGAGTGGGTGTCGGCCTGGTTGACTGTTGAAATCCACTGGTTGTGTAGGGAGCCCCAAATCCCTGATGATTAGCAGTGACATGAGTCTGAGAGAGACTTGTTGGAGGTGTTGGTGGCAATCCAACCCTCGATCCAGTTGGAATGGGTAGATTCCAAGACGGTGGCGATTCGTTTCCCTGATTACCCTGGACAGCCTGCTGTCCCTGATTGTGAATATGCTGGCCAGGATGATGAATCGGTGATACAGAGCTGATGGACAATTCACTGGGTGTCAGTTGATCAGTCGGTGGGTTGGAGTTTCCGGAATTGGGTCCCATCATGGTGACCAGCGAATTTGGCGTTGGTGGGAGCTGATGATGCCCTGACTGCTGATAAGTTGATGAGGGCACACTAACTGGTGGTGATACTTGGTGATGAGTCACGTGGCTTATGGGAACGCTCGAGACAGGGGGAAAGAGAGATGTGGGCGGATAGGAGGCGGGGATTTCGTATTTTGGCTCGAATTTTGCCTCGAATTTTGGCTCGTATGGGGCATTCGGAGGAATTGTTGGAGGCAGGCGATTTGATTCAGCCATCGCCGCTGCTAATTGGTGAGGTACACTCGTGTGATGCGTTGGACCGTACAGATCTGATGAAAAATACAAAAAAATATTAATTATATTAATAATAATTTTAATAATATCTTGTCATATAATATTTTTCAATCGTATCGTAATCGTAGTATTTTCACAATATTTTATCCATTAATATTTAAGGATGTTGCCTTTGGAAATAACTCTTAAAAATTTCCATAGAATGATAAAAGATGGAATTTTGTTTTACCTTGACCGGAAGTGAATGCAGTTTCCGGGATAGTCTGCCCCAGGGATTGCAGATGCATCGAGTGACTTGGTGCTGGAAGACTAGCAGCAGCTGCTGCAGCAGTTGCTGCATGCGAATGTCCAGTGGCCGATGGATGGAGAACGTAAGAAGTGGCTGCTGTAGCTGATGGATAAGGAACTGAACCGTAATATCCCGTTGAAGAAGCTGAGGAACTCTGTTTTCTCAATCTTGCCCGACGATTGCTGAACCACACTTGGATCCTGTTCTCAGTTAATTTCGTCCTCTGGGCCAATTCTTCTCGGGTGTAGATGTCCGGGTAGTGAGTTCTCTCGAACGCTCGCTCCAGTTCGTCTAGCTGCTGGGCAGTAAACGTTGTACGACTTCGTCTCTGTTTTCGCTTCAGGACCACCCCTGGCTCACTTTCAGCGTCCGATTCGGAATTTTTTCCTGGAGAAAAAAAGGAATTGGTCAGTACAAAATCGATTTTTTTTTGCACGAAGAGAATTTACAAAGGGAGCAAAAGGTAGAAAATCATTTCAGTATCGAAGTGGTAAACTGGGATAACTGAATTTTTTTCGACCCCAGTTTTTACTCAATATCTCAAAATTGAAGGAAGATAGCGAATTATTTATCTATACATCTTTTATAGAGAAGAATGAGACCTACAAAAAAGGTATCTACAAAAAAATCGTTATCCTCATTCAATTTCGAGATATTGGATAAAAACTGGTCTCGAAAAAAATGCACTTACAACGGATTAGTAAATGGATAATTCACGTAATTTGCGATAATTTTGAAAAAATCAATTATTCCCCGTAAAAATCATAGATCAGCACTTCATTTTAAAAATGTTCGTTTTCCTGGTATTAATATTTCTACTATTACCTCTTGTGATTAAAACGATAAATAATTCTGTGAATTAATTCAGGTAATTAGGGGACATTATCTTATTTGAGAGAGATTTTTCATGTAAAGACGTTATGATAGAATGCGCGCCTAATCGGGCGACGACGCCTCGACGTCGGGACGCTCCTCTCCGTTACTAAATGCTCATTCGACACGCGACTATTCCCGGCATTTTCATCATTTCTTTTTTTCCCCGGAGTGCATGAGAATTTCCGGTTTTTTCGCCTTGCCGGGCCATTCGAGTTGCAATGGGCCAACTCCAGGGAAATTCTCTAGATTAATTTTTTTTTTATCTCATCTTCGAGGCCGTCAGACAGGAAATTGCCTTGGATTCATCAGAATAATTTCTGTTCTTTTCTTCTCATTCATTGCCGCGTATATAGAATGACCACAAGGTGTCAGAGTGAAACAATATATCGTCCGTCGGAGAAAAAATAAAAATATACCGACACACAATCGACCCCCGTTGCTGCCTATCAACTTACACTGATCCGTGAGTTTCTTTGATCTCGCGCCGACTTTTTACTCACAACGGGAGTAATACAATTTACCAGAGAAAATATATCGACTTTCAGGGAAATTAACTGACGTTGACATGTCAAGTTTTTTCAATCATCATATTTTTTTAAATCGCGCAAATCTTTACGTTTTTAAAAAATATATCAACTTTCCAGATAAAGGATTATGTAATATATATTATTGTATTCCATATTTTATTTTGAGGATGTTCTGCCGTTATTTTGAAAACAATAGGAAAATATAGCGTTTGTCCGTCACATCATGATTTATCCTTTCTCAAAGTTTCATCCCGATATACCAATTTTTATAACTTTTCACTAAAATTTATTGATTTTTTATTAAATTTTAGTGAAAAGTTACAAAAATTAGTGTAAAGGGATGAAACTTTATGAAAGAGTCAATCATGATGGAACGGACAAACGCTATATTTTCATATTCCAATCCGATCGATAATTTTCAATAAATCTCAGAATAACACGAAAAATAACAAAATACCAGCAAAACATCCTTAATGTTGCAATCCCCACAATTTGCCATTCTTCAGTTACTTCAAAAATCTTCTGTCAAAATTTAATTTTGTGAATTTATCTAATTTGCATAAGTTTAATGATAAATGATAATAGAATTCCATAAAATTACAAAATTGTTCTAATGGTTCACGATCAATATTTACCAAAAAATTTAAACTTAATAACCTTCTGGGGAAAAAGATGATGAATCTTAGATCGTTCCCAAATAGTAAAATTAAATAAAAAAGGGAATATTAAAATTGAAATCTGGAAAAGCTGAGGAGTAGGATTAATAATACTTACAATTTCGGGTGAGTCTAAAACTCTAAATCGATGAATATCAAATGTAAAAGTAAAATGTTAGAGAACGCGAGGAAAGAGGTGAAGCATTGGGTCGGCAAAAAATGATGGATTTTTAAATATAGCGAAAAAAAAAAGTGACTAGAGAAGTATTAATCATGACGCCGTGTGTGATGGTTAAAGGGCTCCCCATGGAGAGGCGGCGAGTAAAATTACAGAGTCGATCAAGAGCTACCGTTGCACATGCACCTCCTCTCGAGGGCAACCCAACAATTTCACCGGCAATCGTTTATTTCACGTATTATTCGAAAAGTCAAATAAGGATTGAGGGTAAGAAAGAAGAGCAGAAAAGGACTGAGACTTGAAACTAATATGCCACTCACCGTCGGCAAGTTTTGCAGTAGGATCGTCCTCGCAGTCCTTTCCTCTAATCAGTCTCGATATTACAGATGCACTTGGCAAAGTCGTACGGTCGCACATACCTTCTTTGATCAGCCGATCTCGTACATCCCAGTGGAATATTCTCGGATTTTCACGTTTATATTCTTCGATACGATTTGCTATTTCCGGTGTTGCTGTTCTTGGTTTACTACCACCGATAACACCGGGACGAATGCTTCCAGTTTCTTGGTAGCGATTCAAAATTTTTGATACGCATCCGTGAGATACTCGCAGTTTTCTGAAAATTATTTCAAATTAATCATTAAATTCATAACTTTATACACTGAGAGAAATATTGAATAAAAATTGCGTGTATTTTCCGTAATTCTGCAGCGAAATGTGGTTGTCAGAAATTTTACGGAACTGTCACGTAATTTTTATCTAAAGTCACGGAAATTTTCCGCGGTGTTCCGTAATTTTTATCTGAATAATCGGTGAAAAATAACGATACCGATATTTAAATTTTTCGAATCAATTCCGTAATCGGTAAGTGAACTGAAAGTTCCGTAATTTTTACTAAATATTTCTCTCCGTGTACTTGCCGATAGGTGTTCCGCGCAAGTAAATGAGGACTCGACTTTCAGATTAGAATATCACGAGTGCAAGGCGCTAAAATCAATAACGACCACGAAATTTTCTCATTTTCTCTTTCTCTCCTACACTTTAGTACGAAAATCAAATTGCAAAAATGTCCAAAACCTTTAAAAATTATTGAGTATATAAATATGCTTGAAACGTCAAAATCCATTTAGATTTATACGCAAAAATGTGCAAAATCCAATTGCCAAAATTGATCGACAAAAATTTCCCCATTCGGTTGTCAGAATTGATAAAAAAATCTTTGAGTTTGTAATAAATTTTCAAACCTGGAGATTTCGCACGGCCGGATGTTCTGATGAGACATCATGATGATCTGATGTCGTACACTATTCGGCAACGGGCGGCCATTGATGAAGATGCCCCCCAGCTGATTAACACGTCCTTGACCAGGTATCGATGAAAGATCTGCAGAAATTAAAAGAACGAAAACCTTATTAAAAAAAAACCATTAACAACCGACGGTGCGATTCATACTTCTGACCCAGTCATAACTAATTTTCGATAAAATTCGATGATTCGACAATTTGCATTAAACTCGCAAGTGATTTTCTTTGATTATTAATTCCAGTGCAATTTCCATTACAGTTAAGTGGCCATCAAATCCACCTGATAATATTTTATCGTGCCCAGATGGAGGAAAGGAAAATACAAAGCGGCTGTAAAGATGGAGGAAATTCCGGGGACGGAGAGATCTGCGCGTATAATAGGGGGAAAACTACGAAAAATATTGAATTATGACGTGCAATAAAATATGTACCCCCTGGTAAACTTGAATCCGTTATTCTGGCCGCACGCCTGGCCTCAGGTAAGCCAGAATATTTCAAAGGAAAAATTTACCTCGACCCGGAGAAGATTTTCCGCCTTTCAGTGGACAGAGGGGGTGATTTAACGCTGCATTTACGTTAAAATGTCATTTTTTTTTTCGGGGTGACCCTCGAGCAAAAAATTTGACGACTCTATTCTGAACTCCAGTCTCGACTTGCGACTTTCCGGGTTTATGGGGCCTTCAAGAATAAGAGGCGCTGAAAAATCGGGGACTGAAAGCCTCTGGATATTGCGGGAGTTATGAATAATTCAGGAATTACGAAAAAATAGTTATTATCGGAAATAGTAATTATTAGAGGATCTTCCAGTCGTGGGATGTACTGCGAATTTTCTAGGGGTTATTTCATTTGATTGAAGGGTAACACCTACGATTCCGCCCAGAAAATTTCAGGTAGTGACTGCGAAATGATATACAACTCGAAAATTTATGGTCAATTACGGAGTAATTCGGGGAAATGGACGGATTTTTAAGAATAATGCAAACATTCTGATAAATCCATTGGAAAAAAGGGTTTCATAGATTAATTTACTGTCATGTAAGTTCATTTTGCAAAAGTAATTATTTTTCAAACTGCTATAATAAAAATGATAAAAATTAAATATTAAATCCAATTAAATTGCAAGTAGATTGACAATTGACAGTTCCGAAAAAGAATAGTCTGGATTTTCCTAGTAAAAATTAAAGTGAAATTCATTAGATATTGAAATCATTATCCGATTTTTCATTAACAATTTTAATAATAAGTTCTGTATCACTTCAAATTTGTTTATAAAGATTGAATGTGATAATTTCCAATATTAAATCCATTTAAATTCGTGTGAATTCTTCATTAAAAAAAAGACTTCAGTCTAAAAATTTGAATTTCAATTTCGCTGTTAGCTCTTAACATTGCGCATTTATATATTTTATATAAATGACTGATTGTCAATTATATAATATTGATTATACATGTTGATTTTGCTCACCCTGGAAGGGATATCCGGCATAAGGTCGCATCATTGGAAAGTTAGTGGTGATCGTCATGTCACGTAGTCCGAATCACTTCACAACAGCTCCACAAGTCCCACCAAACAATATATTAATCAATAACAATAATCCTCAAAATGACGGTATTAACAAAAAAAAAAAAGTCCCACAGATCACTGGATAAAAATCACAATTTCAACAACCGATCCGTCGGAGTGGCTCGAAACGACTGGAAAAACCCTTGGACCAAGACGACCTCCGGATGATGATGATCTGACTTGCTGATCCCGACTGAACTTCCTGACTTCTCGTCTTTGCTAACCAACCTTGAAGCCCCGCCTCCAGCTAGATCCAACCATCAGGATGCTGCGCTCAACCACTCGGAATTTCTCATTCCCATTCGAAAACCACGACCTAATGGTGGGGATAATACCATCTACCTGCCCTCCAGCCCACCAATCCCCACTGCTTCTACCTTCTTTAAGCCACGCCCCCACCATTTTCCCTACAGTTTATCGCCTTTTTTTTCGCGTTTATGGACTTATACCTGCACCATTATTTTTCCGCGCTTGTTAGGATTATTTTACGTCTTCGTTTTTCGCCGACTGAGATTATTCAGGGGCTGGTGTTGGAAATGACACCTGAATTTCTGAGAAGATCATAAAGATTATTATTCCTTTACCGGTGATCATTTTAATTCTATTTTCTCCTGAAAAGTTTTTTCGTTTCTATTGATTAAATTAAAGTTTATTTCAATATTCACGTGCAATGCAAGTTCGAACTGAAAAAATATTATTTGACGTGTTATTTTTAACCAATTTTTAACTTGTTATTAATAATACGTGTTCACTTCACACAGATAATGTAAACATTAATTTAATTCTCATACAGCGCAATAGAGTAGAGTAATGAAATTCTTTTTCATACAAAAAATCTGGCGATTATTTCGTAATGATTTTGTTTTCAAACGATTTATTAGCAATTCTCTACATGTTTCCTGATTTTCAGGCATTTTTTAATTCTGATTGAGATAGAAATGACACTTTCCATCGATTTTTCCTGAAATTTTTCCTCTCAATTGCGAAAATCCGTGAAATCTCAAATCCACGCAGGAGTCCTGACTCAAATATAAATGTAAAATAGAAAAAACATGCCCAAAAATATCAGACAATACCCTATAAACTGCCAAAACAAACAAAAATCCCTTCCGAAGTACTGAACAACATGAATGTTTCAAGAATTTATCACACAAACTCTTATAGAAGCAACAATTGCTCGAATAAAAATAAAAAAAATAAAAATAAAAATGTTCACAGGCACAAGTGAGTGAAAATCATTGAAGGCTGTGAAATTCCGCGAGGTAATGATCAACCCGATGATTTCCAATGATTCCCGGTATCTCCGGCTTGCGTGAAAAATTCCTGGAACTAAAGGGCTGTGCATTTTTTCACCTGTTGAGTATAATCGAAGTTATAAGTTGGTTATTCTCCGAAAAAATGCCAGTAAAATCATCAATCACTTTCAATTAACCGTGCGAAAATGAGCTACTGAAATGCGAAGGTCATTCGGATGGCAGAAGAGACTATGCAAAATCGACGCAAGGATATCCACCAAACATAAAAGAAAAAGTAGCATGAAGACATTAAAGTGAGTTTGTTTGGTTGTTGTATCGCGGCGGGTGATGTGCCCCATTGGGTCGACGATCTCCTGTAAAAGTAACGCCACGTTAACCCACACCGTCGGGGGCACCTTCCGTTTCACGTCTTCTGGTACTCCCTTTTCACCCCAGCATAACACTCCTCCACGGAATAATTCGGGTTCATTGCTTTCAGTTCATGTTACAGTTCATTCTTTTTACATCCCCCACTCCCACCCCCAATTCTCAAAAACCCCGTGTTTTCACTGATTTCACGGGACGACACGCACATCTCGACATTTTCAAAACCCACAGAGACGATAATAAACATTGATCGGCTCACTTTTCAGGTAGCTCCCTTTTTTATCGTTTTTCAACAAAATCTATCTGTCAATCGGTCGAATAGGTATTCGAAAAAAATATGGTGAAATTTCCAGAGGTGAAATTGAAATGAACTTTTTTAGTTGAAAATGCATGGAGAGAAATATTTAGTAAAAATTACAGAACTTTCAGGTCACTTACCGATTATGGAGTCGATTCGAAAAATTTTAGTGATGGTATCGTAATTTTTCAACGATTATTCAGATAAAAATTACGGGTCATCGCTGAAAAATTCCGTGACTTTAGGTAAAAATTACGGGGCAGTTCCGTCAAATTTCCGACAAACACATTTCGCTCCAGAATTAATAAAAATACACGTGATTTTTATTGAATCTTTCTCTCTGTGTCGAGGAAAATAGGAGAATTGCAAGACAATTAATGGCATTGTTATTATTTATTAGTAGTATTAATCCTCGAGGGAAAATTCTAAAATAATAATCATTTTTTGGTTTGTTTTTGTTTGAATTTTCCATTCATTCATTCGGATTTTGTTTCATTCAATTTTTTTTATCGAGTATTATCTGGAATTTCTCAATACGGAGCGACTCAGAAATTTCAAACCCTAAAATTTCTCAAAATTCATCATTTCGTTCCTAAAAAATCCCGAAAAGATTCGAAAATTCGGAAGAGGTACGCAATTTCGTTTAATTCTCTCCGCGTAAAATTGCGCCAAAAATTAACCAGAATTTTTCATAAAGTTTTATTTCTGATTTTTTTTCTGCACATTATATAGAAAAAAATCAAATAAACAATAAATTAATAAATATTAAGACGAAGTGAACTTTTCAATAAAAATTACAAAACTCGTAATTCGCTCTCTGGACGAACAGAGAAACTTTACGCCTAAAAATTTCCTGAAATTCCGTATTTTATCCCTAAAAACTTTCCGAAATTCCCTATAAGAGCGGCAATTTCGATTAAATCTCCCTCTCCCCGTGAAATTGAAGAAAATTTGCCGAAAAATCTCATTCCTAATATTTTTATTGCATATTAAATTTGAAAAAAGTGTCAATTCGCACTTAAAGTTGTCCCAACAGAGAATAAAAAGGGCTGGGGGTGGGGCAGGGCTGTAATTTAGTGACTGAAGCACCTCCTACCCCGTAAATAATCCACCTTATTTAGTATATTCCTTGAGCAACAGAAGAATGCAAATTTTCGCCGTGAGTTTTATAATAAAAACATGAATGCCGTCGTAAATATATTGTCTGTTGCGGTGAGATTTCCCGGGATCGTAAATCTCCGCTGGTTTTTCCAATGGAGTTCTTGGTGAAATGTCTTCTATGTGGTCAGCGGCAATATTGCGGTTTGGAAGCGTTGAGTACTTCACCAATGGGGGCCCATGAGAAATGGTATAGCCCCTGTGGTACCCTTGTGGTACCCTCGTGGTTGGAGGGCCCTTTGTATTTACTAAAACTCTACCCCCTCTGGATACATCATGGCTATTACTCTTCAGGTGATCTGTCACTTCGACTCCAATCATCATTCCCCTCAGCTTCTGGCTAACACTCTCAAAAATACCCTCCTAAATAAATTTACTTGCCACTAATAACGAATTTATTCATATTGCCATTAATTCAATTATACATTCTTGAATATTGATTGTTGTCATTATTTTTATTACCGATAAAAATTCAATGCATCCATTGGAATTTAGGATTATAAAAAAATTCATCGCATCGTGTGAATTTTCAATAATTTTTGTCGGTCTGAAAATTTAAATTTTATTGAATCAGATTCAAAAATTAATTGATTTGTTAATTAAGAAAATTGATACAAATGTGATGTGAATGTTGCGTTATAATAATTTTTCTCAGTTAAACTTATATTTATTGAATTTCAAATACGAAAACAAAATTGTATTCTATTTTCAAGGAGAGGTTGATGGAAAATCTATTTGTACAAGATTTTATCAGTAACAATAAATAAAACTTCAGTGAGTAAATTAAATAACATAGATTTTCTATATTTTTGATCGGCGTAATTTTTCTATGGGCATGAAGCAATTCTTTTATTGGATCTAGAATAATTTTTTTTTGTTAACACTGAGAGACTTCTTTCCCCGTAAATTGTTAAACATTTCGTGGAATTGCAATCACAAAGTCATATGAATTTTAAATTATGTATGACTTTGAGTGCAATTCCAATTAAAAATGGTTACCGAATTTTTCATTCGCTTGAATTTCTCATTTTCCATTCGAAGATTCAAGAAAATGGTGTTTTTTATATTAACTGATTATTGATTTGTCAATAAAAATTTCGGAAAAAATCATCATGAAATACAATTAAATCCTTAATTAATTAAAATTTCAGGGGAAATTATTGCTGAATTTCTCACGTTTTCACGATACAATAAATATTAGCTAAACTATCAGTGAATTTTTTCGAGGCCCATGTTTTAGCGAATATTTCACGCATTTTTTAGTTATAAATTTTTTGTAGAGAAAAGTGAATGATACAAGACATTGCAAAAATATTAATATCTTCCATGCATCCTTAGATATTCGCGAACAATTTATCTGCAGAAAATGTGGAAGGCTACGGATTAAAAAAAAATAGTCTCCCTGTATTAACACACTGCCAACTTCTTGGTTTTTCAGACAAGTGTAAAATTCCCGTCATAATTTTTGGTTTTTCCACTATAGGATATTATTTAACCTAGAATGTATAAAAAAATAAAGGAATATTTAGGGTTTTGTATAATTATTCCGTATCAATCGATTTTGCAGAAGTAATTTCATCGGGTTTTTTACATTCTGAATCAAAAACTGTATAAATTTCCGTAAAAGACACACCACCGGTCTAAATTACCCAAATAACTGAAAAAAAAACATTTCGCCGGATAGTTCCTATTCCAAAAAAGCAGAAGAATCTGTGAAATAGTCGATAACAATTTAAAATCAATGTAACCTAAGTTCTAAGAGCCAAAACGTATTTTGTTAATTGTATGAAAATTAAACACCTAGGGTTAAAAAATGCTGAATAAAAAAAAACGTGTGGAATAAGATCTCTTTTTACCTGAGAACCATGAAAATTTGATGAATTCCCTGGAGAATTCCAGCCGAAAGTGGAAAATGCCAAATTTTCAAGAGCAGTGATTGAAAAATAGAGGAAAACAGCTTCCACTTGGATCTATAGAACTCGGATACGCGGCGTGTTTATCTCCAACTGATTTATCCCTTCACGGTTAGTAAAACCCCAAACAAGTCTGGGATAAAATTCCGTTAAAAAAAATGGTCTCGTGAAATAGTTGTCGAAGGAAGGTGTCAATAGTGGAGAACGTGTTGACGTACCTCACCGTGAAAAATCCGTAGGGGGTCGACAATTCGGTGCTCTTTTCACGTCATACAGTCGCATGCACTCCGAGGCAAATGTGAAAATTGAAAAATACCTAAAATAAGAGAATAGTGAAAAAGGTAGTTGGTCTGAGCCCGAATTCTGGCCACCAAGTTGGGGACCCTTGGAAAAGCGTCTTCTGGTCGTCACGGTGTCCCTCAGTCGTGTCCTCGAGGTTTCCAATGCTATTTTCCTCTCACTCCAGAGCTTCTTACCTGAAGAAAATTTTTCCAAATCTAGTGTTTTCGTCTCACTCGGATGTTGTAAATCTCAATTTTCAGGGCTTGCTTTGTTGGACTTGCTGGAAAGGACGGAGGCGTGCATGATGGCTATACGAGAACGGTTGTAAAGTCATCATTCCTGATATATGACTCTTCCTGAAGGTGCCTCGTCAAGACCAGAAGTGCCTTCGAAATTTTCAACTCCATGCAATTTTGGAGTAATGACTGAGGAGGTGATGATATTTTCTTCTCACGCTGAGTCCAAAAACCGGCTAGTCATTATTTCTATGTACACACGGAGATAAATATTCAATTAAAATTTTTCATTATTGCTCCGTTATCGCTATTTCTTCATAGAAAATTCCGAGGGGCTCTCTATTGACGTGTGTCTCTCTGTGACACTCTCAAATTAAATCACATAAAATCAGTCCTGAAAACACTTTAAATTGTATGTAATCAAATTCAAGTAATTAATATGTATTAATTACTTGTAATCGTTTGAAATCATTTACCAGCATCATTTACATCACCAGCAATCATTTAAAAACATTAAATCGGGAGAAGCTTTTGAAATCACATTAAATCAGAAATGAGCGTTATAACATTTTACAATGATTCCTCGAAAAATTTCGATAAAAAAGACGAAACGCTTCTGAAAGAGTCTGTACGGTTTTTGTTTAAATTTTTGGCAATCACATGTCACTCCGGAATTATGGAAAACATACTGAATTTTTATTGAATTTTTTTCCTCGGGAGAACAATATTTCTGTTATTTATATTCCATTAGACAATTAATTTTGCCCAAGACTGGAAATCGTGCGAATAAAATTCATAAAATTAAATTACAATTCAGGAAACTCTTTTTTTCTTAGTCTTGAAGAGAATTGAAAAGTTATTTCGTATTTTGGTTTGGGTTTCATTTAGAAATAAGTGAGGTATTGACGACAAGAAGATAAATGTTGTAAATTTAGAATTATTGAATAAATCAATCGTAATTATCTATTATCTAACACGCGGTGTAATTGCAATTTTTGGAATGGAATTTCAGGGGAATTTGGGCCGAAAACTTGAGACTAAAATATTGAACTGCGTATTGAACCATTTCAAGAGAAAAAGGTACCGGAAGTACAGAATGTCCTTGTCGTCCTCCGTCTCACGTGACGGCAGAAAAACGTCATAAACTCATAAACCAATAAAATCATAAATATTCCTCATTATCGCCCATAATCCGTATTGCCCTGGGCCCGAGTCAGACGCGCGCTGACTAAAAAAAATATCTTCCACCCCTTTCCCATTTTTTTTTGGGCCCAACGGACGAGACTCTTCTGGAAACCCTGACAAAAAAAATTGGGCAAAAAAATTGTGCTGAAAGGATTTGTCACCCCTTTTGAAATATTTCGGGACTATTTTCTTCGGGTTCTTGGGACTCCCAAGAATTTATTGCACTTTGAGAAACAGAAAAATGTAATTCTGAAAAAAAAAACATTTGAAAATATTTAAAACACACTCGAAATTTTGAAAGCACTGCAGGCATTCTATACATTCAAACGAAAAATAGAAAAGCAGAAATGAATTTTTTCATAATAATATAATTATTATTGCCAATTAATTAACAAAATATCTCAACATTTTCGAATGCGTGCGGAATTATTATGTATATTACCTAACCTAAAAATTGATTAAATATTATTTCGCCTCACGTTTTCAGTCCTAGAGGATCAATTTTATGTAAATTTTCCATTCAATGAGCGATAGGAATTTTAATAAATAAACAAATGAATGAAAAATGGAATAAATGGAGGAATTAATAAATTAATCTAGGGATATTCCCTGACAGTTTTGGTTTTGGAAGGAGGAGGCCATTTTGTTGTCACGTGAGTTTCGGTAAAAATGATAAAATGGCGGATCACGCTTGAGTGCCGCCTTGCGATAATCACAAGTAAAAGGGGATTCCCCTTGAAAGATTCTGCTGAATTATTTCTCACGATGCCAAACGATCGCATCGGTCTCAACTGACCCCTTACGATCTCTCGTTTTTATTATTTTTACTTAACTTTCCTTCCATTCGTCGGGGGTTTTTTTCCAACACCTCGAACAATTCATTCCCCTCGTCAGTCTTTTCAACTGCGTACAAGTCGAATATCGATTGCTGTTTTTGCCAGGCGATCGATCAAGCGAAATTTCCGCTGGAATTGCGGACACAGAGGATTATTTCTTGCTCCCGAAGAAAGTAATGCATTCTCCAACCGATCCTACATGTCTTTTTATTTACTGAATTTCACATTAGGGAAACAAATTACTTGATTTATATAGAATATTTCATTATTATAGAAAAGATAGACTCGAGGAAATTGTTTTCCAGAAAAAAAAAATAGAGAATACTTTTTTTATCGCATTATCAGAAATGTGTTTAATTCTCGGTAATGAGTGCTTCTAATTTGTTACTACTGAAAGGATTAATTTAATAATTCAGGAGTAGTAAAAAATCTTTAACTAATTTCCCGCGTCTCATGATTAAAAATTTAATTTAATCTTTAAAAACTGGATTAATTTATTAATGACAAAAATTAATTTAATTCCATTTTCAATTACCTATCATAAAAATCAATTTTCTATCATCCATAGAACAAAAGAATTCATTAAATAAATTGAATAACATAAAGTTTCTATATTTTTTGTGCATAAGATGTGTCTATTGACATGAAGAAATAATTTTCTTGAACTTCTCAATAATTTGGCACGTGCAATAAAAAAGGACGTGTACCAAAAATGCCAAGAATCGATAATGATAGTCGTCAGTCATGATTGGAGTACGAAAAAAAAAATGGCTCTCAATGTGAATGAAACGAAAACAATGAAGTTGTAGCAAAAAATGCGGAGCAAGAGGTGAGTAATCTCCTGGATTTCCGTCGGTCAATCACACCGTGCGGTAGTTCCATCCTCTCCCCTGCATACAGGAGTCAAGTGAGTTATTTTTTAAAATTTTTTATTGTTTCAAGTGAGTTAGAATATACCTCACCGCGGTAGGTCTCCAAGTGAGATTGATCATTCCATCCTTCTTCACCCTTTGATGTAAACGCCACTTCATTCCTCTCAATTGGCTTCTCATTTCTCACCGTTTTTTTAAAACTCGTGTTGCCCCTTTTCACCTTCGATCATCAGGGTTCACGTGCACACTGAAATACCAATAATAAACAATAACCAATAATAATAAAGGAGGGAATTTTATCGCTCACTCCTGGTCCGGAGGGTCAGGTTCAGATCGTATAACAATTCGTTAATTGGAAATTCAGAGGAAATAAAACCCCACCTCAATTGCTGCCAGTTTATTCCAACTAGTGTTGAATATTATTGAGTAATATACCTGATAAATAAAATAATGAATATCGTTTATTTTTTATTTACTAATTTGAAAAAATTATACATTACAGTTAATCAATGCAGGACTGATTCTATTACTCATTATTGGGCGAAGGAATGTAAAAATTAAAAGAGAGGGAGTAATTATTTATATCTTTAATTATATATTGTTTATTTTATTTATTTATTATTTATTTATTATTTTAATTATATATATTTAATTATCTATTATATGATTGTGTGAGGGTCAAAGAAATTACACATTGCGGTTGATTTGGACAGAATCGATTTTATTACCGATTATTACGCAATGACTATTTGGAGAAATTGTAATTAGTTCATGTGTTTGTATTCTGTACATATTTACTGGGTGTTGATAAGATGAACCGAGGAACGCAGGTATTTCACACCTGCATGCTGCACGGATGCAGAAGTACCGCATCGTATAGACCGGTAGCTTTTTAAATTAAACGATGACGAAGCGTCAGCTCGAGATGGGATATTATCCTTCGTCCTTTGATCGTTCGAATTGCCGCGGGTCTCTCTCTCCTACCCGAAAATCAAAAAAAAAAATTACAAAAACAAAAAAAAAACACATCGTCATACCCAAAAGACCAGAATTTTCCGCTCAAGAAACAGAGAAATCGATAAGAAAAAATTGTTATCTTGAGAATGCAATAAAAGTAAATGTAAAGTGCGTTCCGTCTTTTAAAAAACATTTTTATGTACAATTTTATGTTACAATTTTATGTTACACTAGCGTATACGGCGCGCTATGCGCGCCCAACCTTACATGTATGTGGTGTTATCATATAAAATCTTCATATTAAAAGAATCTTAAGTATCTAAAAAAATTAGTCATAATTTAAGTTTTTTTCTTTAATTAAATTCAATTGATAAATATAACAATTTTCAATATATAAACAAATAATATATAATTATATATTATAATATTATTTATAATATATATATATATTAATTATTTATATGAATATATTAATATGATATGCATAGCTTAGCTATGCGCCAAAAAAAGCTGACAAAAAACGTTACATGCTTTTTTTTAAAAGGGATATTTTATATTACAATTTTTATTATTCTTTTGGAATTTGTAGATTTTCGAGAGTTAGCCGGTCTTATGCACACTTTTTATATATTTTTATTTATATTTTTTTGATATGGGAAAAGGGAGGATGGCGAGACCGTGAGGTAAAATTCAGGTGATGATGAACAGTTTCAGCTCTAAGTTTTTATTTTTCTATTACTTTTCCCCTTTTTTCTTTCGACAGCTCCTTTTTCACTTCTTTTTTTCACTAGCTCGTTGCCCTCAGAGGGCGTGGGACATCGTCTCAGGATTGGGTGCGAGGCCTCTGAATCTTTTTATCCAACCGACGAGTGACTCTGCAAGTATTTTCTCATTACTGAACCAATATTTTTGTAAAATTGGATTTTTCGTGTGAGAAAATGCGGGCTTGACTGTTACAATTATTTCAGAAGTCATTTACTTCTGTCACACTGAAAAAATAAAAGTTTCTCAAGGAGTGCATCATTACTTGTAACAAGGCGATATCTTGTACTGAGAGAAAAAAAACTTGTCACAACCACATTGTCTCAACCACGTGTCGCCCTTAAAAGCGTTATTCAATCTTAAAGATGTTCTGCCGGTATTTTGTTATTTTTCCTATTTTTCTGAGATTTATTTAAAACTATCAATCGGATTGGGATATGAAAATAAAGCGTTTGTCCATTACCTCATGATTTATCCTTCCACAAAGTTTCATCCCGATACACCAATTTTTATAACTTTTCACTAAAATTTATTGATTTTTTATTAAATTTTAGTGAAAAGTTACAAAAATTAGTGTATCGGGATGAAACTTTATGAAAGAGTCAATCATGATGGAACGGACAAACACTATATTTTCATATCCCAATCCGATCGATAGTTTTAAATGAATCTCAGAAAAACAGGAAAAATAACAAAATACCAGCAAAACATTTTTAAATCATAAATTAATCTCATTATCAATCGTAAGACATCAAGAAGTCCCCTTGGTATACTGAAGTCCGCATACGGTTCTCCTTCGATTTTAGGAGTGGGGGGCATGGTTGCAAATGGTAACTACGTGGAGTGGGGGTAGCCAGGGAAGTAAAAACTTACGCTGACTGCATTATAACGACTGTCTTTTCAATTAACATCGTATTGATTCTCTTCGGAGCTCTGCTGCCAAATAAATCTCATCATTGTGTTGTAATTAATAAGCCGCCTTATTAATTGTGAATTAATCGGTGTCTAGAGCTATAATTCTCTGGATATTATGGCAATATACTCAAAGAACGGAAAAATTTCTACCAAGAAATTACGCACTTGTTCCAGAGATGATGATAATTTATTCATAATAAAAATGTGATGACAAGTCTAGCTCAGTGAATTTAATCACGAGTTTTTTTTTCTCGAATTCAAAAAATTTCAATTTAAAAAAATGTAATTGCTCTTCATTTTTTGAAAAAATGTGAAATCCCTCGACTAAAGTTTTTTCTATCGGTGGAATTGAATTGACTTGATGCATTTTTTGAGTATAACATACATTATTGGCTGTATTAATAAACACATAATTTTATTATTGAGAGAATTCGTGACTGTCGGGAATTGCATTGCTCGAGCGTGAAGACAATGAGGGAAAAATGGAAGATGAGGAGAAGAAAAGTGCGATAAAATGTGCGATGCATTGTATGCAATTGGTGTCAGAAAAAGGAAATAACTTCAGGGTCTCGTCGAGGACGTCTCGGTGCTAGGAATTCTTGCATTTGCCACTTTTCTTGTCGACTTTGTGTACTTCCAGTGGAAACTACCGGAATACACCTTGTAGAAACAAACATGCTGTGTAAGAGGAATGATGATGCCAGTACCTGAAGATGACGGATGCCCTGGTGCGTGTTAAATCAGTAATCTCCCTGGCATTCGGTGGTAAAAAATTATCCCGAGGTACTGCAAAATTTGAGAAAAATGTTGAAAAATTCAAAATTACGTAGGTCTTTCGTAATCCTCAGAGCAAACGCCCAATTAAAAAAACGTAACGAGACGTAAAATAAAGAAAGCTACAATTTTCATAAGCAATTATGTCTGATTAATTTTCATTAACACAAAATTCTAGAATTAAATAACTTCTGAGAAATTGAAACATTAAATTTTCTCTCGATCAAATACTATTTTCCTCTGTACACAATTCTGGGAAGATTACTATAATTAAGGATGATATTAATTGTTGAAAAATGAAATTATTTTTTGATTTACATTATTGTTTAATGTTCCACGTACGAACCACAATGGGCATGACAGGGAAATTTTTCAATTGCGATAAACGTATGTATTGACCGAAACTAAAGTCATCAGGGAAGCATGACTGTACGTCTTTTTCAATTCTCGTTACTCCTCTCGTCTTTCATCATTTATTAATTGCTATTAATTGATGCATCTTCCGGTTGATTCAATGAACGACGGAGAGGTGATAAATGTTATGAACTGATTAATGTTATTTTTACAGTAATAATCACTATCGGAGAAGCTGTCAGATGCAATTATATTTTTTAACAATAATTGGTTGTGACAATTTTCAATTTTTTGCTATCGACCTCATCCCACTCTGTTACTTATCATTCATATATTTCTCCATCTTCCCATTATCTCGGGAATGAATCTGTTACAAGTCACGACACGATGGATTAATCAATTAATTAATCATTGAAATACTAAAAATAATAATAAATTAAAAATAAATTAAATGAGTGCTTCAATTTTTTGGAACAAAGTTTATTTATTTCTCGATTCGCATACATTCCTAATTTTATATTAAATGTGAATTACAGATTAAATGAGACTTTCAACAACCAAAAAAATCCGGTATTTCGAAAATAATTTTCATGAATTTTGTACAAAAAAAAAAATTAAACGCGTGTGGTCCTCTATTTATCATTCGCTGTTCGCCTCACTTCTCGCTCGCTTTACCATCGCGACGCTTTCCGCCGTGAAGTACAGCGAAAATGTGAAACGATCCTTTAAATTGGTCTCAAGTGTAAATGCGGTAGGCCATATTGTCATATAAACACATTAAACACAATGACAAAAATTTAAACAAATTGGATAAGACAGCGCGATAAAAAATAGTGTGCAATGCCAATTCTATTGTTATTGTTGTCCTCTACAACATTCATCTTTCGATTAATTATCGATTTGATATTTTGCAACAACAACAATAATAATAACAATTCGAATCGTTAAAGTTCTCTTTTAATTATTAATTCACATGTAATATAATAATAAAAATCATAATAACAAGTGGATAATTTATTGTTTAAATAAAGATCAAAAGCCAATGAAATACATTGAATATATTCTATAGAATTTCGCTTGAACATGAAATGAAATCATAAGTTATTTTTACTTAATTAATTCGGATAATTAATACGACGAGTTGAAATGACCGATGGGCGTAAACCGTGTGCATTTCATGGGGTTAATAATTTGT